AAAAGCAGGTCATCCGGAGGAAACTAGCAAGTGCACAGTGTCATTAGGGCCATAATCGTACAACTACTTAGGCTAATTAACGTATGCATGAACGAAACTTGTGGCAGGGCGAGTGAACTTAAGAGCATTCAGAATTTTGCGGCCTGCTTGTTTCAGAAGTAGCTATAAATCATTTGAAAATTAATTCCAGGGACACGATACGAAATACAGCAAATCAGCATAAAACTAAAGATTTCTTTTGGGAGGGGGGATCACCCAGTAGGCATTTACCAATACGCTGTTAATTAAGCACGTCTTTAGAATATTGTCATGGTGATTAAGTGTGATATATAGTAATACAAATGGAAACTGATATGTCAGGAAAATTAAATTGTCGTCGTTAATGTACACTTCCGTTAAGTTGGATTGTTTGTTGACAAAAAATTATGTTTCATTTCTTAAGTTCTAAGTAGCGTGCCGTATGATAATAATAGGAAACATAAAATTAATGTACGGGATGTCCCACTTAACGTAGGACCCAACAGCTACCGCAGCAGTAGTGAGCGAACTGCCGGGATATGAGTAAGTCACAGCGCGGAACGTGGCCGTCGCATGGTAGAAGGGGGTGGGGGGTTCCGAGTTACGTGGGACACCCTGCACATTAATTGTTTTTCGCCTCGGCCGTCAGCCATTACGAAGCCTCATCTTTTGATTACTAATGCTCATCTGAGATAAAGTTTCATGAATGTTAACTCGCGTTATTCATATTCATCTTTCTTTCGGCGTTGTCAGAGCGTCGCTTATAGGGTAAGCTGAAATTGCATTTACCTTCCCTGGTGGTAAAGAAATGTCAAAATAATTTATTTTGATACAACATAACATAAAATCTTCCAATGCTCTTCCAAAGTAAAATTACATAAAATAAATTCTCCAATGCAAGAAAATAGCAGAAGTGGAAAATTTTGGGCTAGTACTTTCAAGTCAAGGCGAAATAAAATTTTCTTATACGTAGAATAAATAGTTGGTATAAACTATTTATGGTAACTACAAACAACTATAAAATAAAGGCTTATTTCTTATCTTACACAAATTTCTTGTTGCTTTTCAAAAATTCTTATATTTGTGATTGTTGGAAAATGTTCACATTTTCAAGATGTCTGTTCATAAATTGTTCTTTGTTTACCGGTATTAAATTCTGCCCGCTCAATCAATGCCAGTACTGCATCTGTACCAGTTTTCATTTGCTGTACATTATACAGTAAAACCCCTCTAGTTGGACACCCCTATATCCTGGACACCCCTCTATATTGGACACTTTTAATTGGAACCGGCGAATATCCTATAATTTTACATGTTCACAAAACCCTATATCTTGGACACCCCTTTATCCTGGAACTTGGTCACCCCTTTTGTTGTAAGTTGGACAGGTTCATGTACTTAGCTTCAATGCTTTTATGGGAAACGTTTACAGTTAGCATTTTGTTATTTTGAATTTCTGACTGATGAATGCCTTCTACCTGAGGATTAGCTTATGGTTGAAGGTGTGAGACATTGACCACATCATTTAGGAGAAATAAGTGACATCATATGTTGAGCTAATGCCGTAAGTACAATTTAAAAAATACACTCTGAACATTTAAAATTTCATTGAGGGTGGGGTGTAATGTGCAACCATGAGAGTGGGTTTCAAAAGATTATTATTATTATTGTCATTAATTCTTAATTCAAGCAAGCCTACAGTAGTTAGATTATGTAAGTCTGTAGATTACATTGACAGTAAACTTAAAGTATTGGTGCCCTTCCCTCTGAGATTATCCATGCAAGTTTCATTTAGTGAAAACAAAATTTGTAAAAATTTAATTTACCCTTTTCATTTTTCTTATCAGTAATTTCCTTTTCGAGAAGGGCTCCATAATACTCTACAATTACGACATTGTCATTACACCACAATTTGAAAGGATGATTTCCCCTTTCCCTCTATCATGGACACTTCTGTAAGTTGGACACATTATCGTGGAACCGCAAGTGTCCAAGTTAGAGAGGTTTTACTGTAATAACATCGCAGAAGATGTGTACGAATGACCATCTAGTGTCATTTCAAAAGTGTCGATGAACATTTGTGTATGCATAAGCGCAGATTTAGCACAGCCTCTTAAAATGTCCACCACGTTACAATTGCTTTACACTCTTCTTAAGTGATTATAAACTTCAAGAAAATTAAGCACATGAAAATACCACAAATTTAATAGTTAAAAATAAATAGCTAAAAATTTTCATCCAACAACAACAACAAGAAAGTAATTTCAATATAAATACTGGCCACGTTATTGAAATACCTATTTTTTGCAGTGGAAATACTTAATTGATTAACTTGCTCTTAAGTCAAATTCCTGCAATTACTAAAATCACAAACAACAAATTAATATGTTACATTTATGAAATTATGTAATAATTCAGATTAATCTGAAACAGAGCAATAAATAATCAACTCATCTCTGCTTCCTGGAAAATGAGACAAGAACAGTACGAGATTTATATACAATTGCTACACTACTTTATCTATTAGAATAAACTTAGCCTATGAATATATTTAACTCTAGGACTTTATAAAGATGACATTGACTGGTAACATTCAGCACAACAGAACATTGATAAAATGTCATGGCCCATTTAAAAGAGGACTCCTTTCAGTCTTAAAATCAATCCATAAAATTCAGTACTCCGTTTTTTCTTAAATTACCGTAACAATGGGGCTCCTTTTCCATTTAAGCACTAAATAGTCAGATTGCACACTTTGAGTCCTGATCTCGAACCTCGGTCCTTCCTCGCGAACAAACTGAGTGATACGAAGTCTCTTCAAATAGCAGGGTAGCACATTTATTGAAATTATTTAACTTTGTTTATGTAAGTGCTTTGACTGACTGACCTTAATATATTTAACGTGATGTTAAAAGGGGTTTAAAAAGATTTGTTCTTTTCGTATTTGTTGCTGACGAAGAGTAATTATTTTGTCTTGAAAACAGACCGTACGACATTGTTTAAAATAAATGCAAAATTATGGGATTTTAGGTTCTGACTGTGGTGAGTCCGAAGACAGATGTCTTCTGGATTGTAGCTCCGTGTAGTCTGGTTGAAGTTTACCGACGTTTCAGAGGTCCTTATTGCCTTTCCAACAGACTTCATGGTGATACAACTCAGAAGACAGCCATCTTGTTTGAAATATTTTCCTTCTAGATGAAATGAAAGCAAGATTGTTGCAGTATTCTTGTCATGGCCAACTATGTTGCTCTGTTTTCTAAGTTAACTTGGCTGTTACAAGGAGAGGGAACGTGTTTCAACATATTTTCTTTATTATTAGCTATCCCTTTTTTTCGTCAAATGTTTTCTATACGATTTTATAATTTATCCATTCAAACATAAACATGTTTAAAGTGGATGTAGTTCACGAGGCAACCGTTCAAGTGTCGAGTCACGGGGTCTCTGAGAGTGGAAATCTCTTATTCTCACTATGGTGATATGGACCGGAGCTTGGCGCACGACTAAACAACTCGGTGGGTTGTGGTCACCACCGCTGAGCGCATGTTTTTTTTCTCCTGTCCCAAATGCCACTTAAATGTATCGAAATATATCGATATGTAACGGGTCGGCGTCTGTTGAATGAGCAGAGCGGAAACCGGAGAAGTATTTTGTCAGTAACGTAACTGAATATAAAAATTTTAACATTTAACGACCAGAGAAACAAGAGTGAGGGTGTTAATTCTTGTAGCAATTCGCACTTGTCTTTAGAATGACCCTGTACCTCGCGACAGAACTTGTCGGTATTCTATTAGCGTAACTACAAAGTTTGCATACAGACAGACGCTTTATTAATCTTCCATTCAGTAAGGTTAAGTCTTGTTTCTATTGCCTTCACTGAGATTCGAACAGCTACATCAAACAAGATGGAGGTTTACTTTTAAACTTATTTCATGACATACATTTCGTCTAACTTCCTGTATGTATCGATACGTTTCTATGTTTCACAAGTCACGTATTGGGTACATTTAAAACTCTACGTATAAGAAGACTTTATCATTTTAAGGCACATTAGAATTTTAAAAAAGTATGTATTGTATGTAGGTAAAGACCGTTATTTGATAAGACATGCGTTGACCTTTCTCTGAGTTTACCTTGTTATTAAAATACCAAGTCATGTGCAGCCCTCTGTCGGCATTTATACGCTTCTTTAAAGGAATCATCGCTCTGTTGGTCTTCAAGTAATTTATGTTATAAGACCGCATCTAAAGTTGTTCTTGTTTGTATTTCTACTTATTAAGGATCGCGTATAGTTCTTCAATTGTCGCACGTCATTGCCAACCTTTGAATTAGTACAAGAACATGTGTCGTATAATGGAAATGTAAGTTCATTTCACGAAGTGTAGTCAATTTTATTTACGGTAAAAGGAAGCTAATTTCAATGCAGTTCTGATTTCTATTTCGCTTTGAAACGCCGCTGCTGATTCAAGAGAATATAATCTTTAAGAGCAGACATACTAGCATTCACAATTTATGTTTATTTGCTTGCGTTGTTTTAAAATCATTGCTGAATTAAGGCAACAGTAAATTTTACGTCATTCTAAATGTATTCTAAGTTTCCTATGTGGTGTATGGCAGTGCAAACAGACGAAACTCGATTAAATTTGCAAGTGTCTAGCCTCCCCTAGATTATTGCCGAAGCTCTTCTAAAATAATATTTAAGGATTCAGTCCGTACCTCGAAGAAAACACAACACTGTTGAGAAACACGGTCGTAGAAGGTTTTTGTTCTAATTATAATTTCATATCCCCCTTACGAAGCGACTTTATTGTGATAAACAGATAAACGGGACGCTTTGTGACGAAAGCTTTAGAATTTTTTTTAAAAATAACGTCCAAATTTTAATAAATAATAACATAATTTAAAATTGATTGCGTTTAACTGGCCTTTTAATTTGTATCACGCCCCCTCT